AACAACAACAACAAGTGGTGCTATGAGTGTGTATCAATTCAAGAGCATGTAACAACAACAGTTCCATTTATTTCTGCTTTTATATTTATTATTCCTTTTCTTCAGGCTGATTTTGCTGCTTTTTGTAGTTGTGGAGGTGTTGGGTCAAGGTGTGGATTTGGGTTCTACTTTTTTAGGATGGTTAATTGCAAGGTCGGTGATTCAAACCCTCCAGTCACTCCTTGGAAACCCTATACAGGGGTCCTGTGAGTTGGAAGAGACTCATCAGTAATAATATTGATTACTACAGGTTGTCTTCTGAGTACTGTTTTTCATATATGTCAAGGGTCTTGACATGTTGTGTTCATTCTCGTTAGAGTCAAGGAATTTTTTAAAGATCATTTAATATTTCTTTTATTTCTCAGTAGTTTTTATTACTTTCATTACTCAGAGTCCTGGTGTGGCGCTGTGGGTTAATGCGCCAGACTGCAAAGCTGTTTGAACTTCAAGGTTGGTGGTTCAAGCTCACCAGCTTCTCCTTGGAAACCCCATACAGGGTCGCTATGGGTCAGAACCTACTAAATGGCACTTCACAACAACAACAACAAGTTTTTAAGTAGGGTGTTACTCAATTTCTCTGTATTTGATTTATTCTTTTAATTTTTCTAGCTGATTTCTAATCATATAGTGTTGCCATCTAAAAAGATGCTCTGTACTTTTTCAGTGCTTTAAAATTTACTGAGGCTTATTTTGTGGCCTTATGTAAGATTGATTCTGTAGAATGTTTCATGAGCTCTGGAAAAGAATGCCTATTATGCTTTGGTGGGTGGAGTGTTACGTTTATGTCTCTGAGGTCAAATTGGTCTTTCATTGGGAATATAGATATTTATTATAGCCATGCCTTCTTCTCTAATTGACCCTGTAGTCATTATATGATGCCCTTTCTTATCTCTTTTTGTCTTTCTGCATATATATGTCTCTTGTAAACAGTATTTTGATGGGTTGTTTTTTTCTTATAGATTTTGCTACTCTTTATCTTTTGACTGGTGTATTTAATCCATTTACATTCTGTGTAGTTATCTATAAGCAGCTCTGGGTTGAATTTATTGCTCTTGTGTCATTGCCTTTTGTGTGTATGTGTGTGGTACTGTTGGTTTCTTTGCTCCAGATAAATTTCTGTACTGAATTCATTTTGTTTATGGATTTTCTCATCGATTCCTTCATTGCTATTGTTTGCTAAGTCTTTATGAATTTCCTTTTAATTTGATAAGAAAGTTTATTAATTTTCTTTGAGGCTATCTTGACATTGATTATTTTCTTCCCAAATTTAAAACACTCTATCTTAAAATCAAGTTGAGCTCCTCTCCAGTGAAGTTCTGTAACTACACTATTTATTCCTTCATTTTACTTCATCTGTTGTTGTTGCTGTTGTTAAATATCATTGAGTCAGTTCCAACTCAAAATGACGTCGTATAGGACTTCTGAGGAATGACTGGTGTGTTGAACCACTGACCTTGACGTTTAAACCCATCCTGTGATCATTTTCGGATTGATATATCTGGTTCTCTATTTTCAGTCTAGTAAGTTTATTTTACTTTGGAAACTTCTGTATCTGGGTTGATTTCTGGGTGCTTTGTGATGTGTATTAATCTTAGGTTGTTGTCTGCTGTTGCTGGTGGTCTGTCTGAAGAATTCCTGCTAATATCCCTTGTAGGATTGGTCTGATTTTTATATATTTCTTTAATTTCTAAGTATCTGAAAATGTCTTAA